ACTCAAATCTTAGCAGTAAACCTTTGTTTTAAACCAAATATTCCTGACTGGTTATTTAAATCATGACTTAAAATAGATTTAAATCAAATTCATCCAAATTCTACTATTGAGGCAATATTATTTCAGAATAGATAGAATATGAATGGTGGCTATCTACATATTTGCTCACAACTATTTCTCAAAAATGTCTATAAAAGATGTTCTAAAGTAGTTAACCATACTTTATAGAGTTTGGATCAAAAAGTTGCTAAGGAATGCCTAATAATATAGTAATCCATAGGGGATTCAGTTTGGGTATACAATGTTCACCATCATCACACCAAGTTGCAATTATGAGATCCCATCATAAGTTTCCTATTTCTGACTTTTTATCTCAATGATAGTTTAACAAAATAATATTATGTGTCTGATTTCAATTTAATAATGCTACTATTAAGAAAAATCTAAGCTGAGAATAGTGGTATATGGATATAATGTAATCCCAGCACTTTGCGGGGTGAGGCAGGAGGATTCAAAGTTCAAGCCTACCTTGGGCATCTTAGCAACTAGCAAGACTTTGTCTCAAAATAAAAAAATAAAAAGGGCGCTAGGTATGCAGATCAGTGCAAAGTCCTAGCTTCAATACCAGTACCGAAAAAATGAACATAGAGGCTTTTTTTTTTTGGTACCAGGGATCGAACTCGGGTCCTTGAGCTTGCAAGGCAGGCAGCAGAACCACTGAGTTAAATCCCCGGCTCACTACCAAAAAAATGCATCAATCAATCAATCAATCAATGAATCAACGAATGAAAAAGGAAATATGTAATCACCTTACAGACATTTCCCCTTACATCGGCTAGGTGTAGGCACCACCTACAATCTCAGCACTCTGGGAAACTGAAGTAGAAGGATCTTAAGTTCAAACCCTGCCTGGGCAACTTAGCAAGACTCTATCTCAAAATAAAAAGTTTTTAAAAAGGGGGCTGGTTGTAGTACAGTGGGAAGGCCCTGGGTTCAATCCCCAGTACATCAG